TATACAAGCAGCTGTGGAAACAGCAGTGACATCTATTGGTGATTTAAACCACAGGGTTACAAAGAACCAATGGATTTCTTCAAGGTCTATTGCATTGATAGATTCTCGTAAACTCATCCCATCAGGTTCTGAACACGATGAAGAGCGGAAACAAATCACATCTAGGTTAAGCAAAGGTCTAAGGAACGATCGTGAGCAGTGGTGGACAACGAAAGCAAAAGAGATGGAAAAGGCGGCGGCTATAGGGAACACAAGACAACTCTATAGACTAATAAAAGAAACTGGAATTATTAAGTCAAGTGTAAGTCAGACTGTTTCGGAAAAAAACGACACTCTCATCTGCTCCCAGTCTAGACGTTTAGAACGATGAGCGGAACATTCTAGAGAAAAGTTCAGCTGGCCCTCAGCTACTCCACAACTACCCTCTATTCCCAGACAGTATGAATGGAACATTGAAGTAGGTCCCCCAACTCTAGCTGAAGTTCAAAAGGCTATAGCTAATCTGAAACGAGGAAGAGCAGATGGTACAGATGGATTGGCCCCAGAGGTCTTTAAGGATGGTGGTTCAATTTTAGCGATTAGATTGACTAATATTTTAGCTAAAATCTGGGAGTTAGACGTTATCCCATATAACTGGTCACAATCACTTATCGTCCCAATATTTAAGAAAGGGTCAAAATCATCCTGTGACAACCACAGAGGGATTAGTTTGACTAATATAGTATCTAAAATACTAGCCTCGATAATTTTCGGACGCCTAACTAAGACTCGTGAACTGCAAACACGTGAAAATCAGGCTGGCTTCAGACCTGGTCGTGGCTGCATCGACCGCATATTCCCCATTCGTCAGGTTCTAGAACACAGGCATACTTATCAGCGTCCAACAATGGTGGTCTTCCTTGACTTAAAAGCAGTATTTGACTCTGTTGACCGAGAGGTTCTGTGGCAGTGTCTGTCATTGAAAGGCGTACCTCAGAAGTACACAAACCTTGTGAATGCTTTTTACTCGAACACTACTAGTCGAGTTATTGCTTATGGCGAACTGTCATCTGCTTTTGAAACCGCAAGTGGTGTCCGTCAAGTCTGTCCACTTTCTCCATTTTTGTTTAACTTCATCATAGATCTACTGATCGGAATAACGCTCCCATCGACTAAATTCTCGGGCATTGATCTCCTACTAGGTGGTCCACTTATCGACTTAGAATACGCAGATGACATAGTCCTGTTTGGTGAAGACGCTGGTAAAATGCAGAGTCTTTTGGTAGCACTGAGCAACAATGCCAGAATGTTTGGGATGCGCTTCTCTCCCTCTAAATGCAAGTTGCTGCTTCAGGACTGGTCTGAGTCAACACCTGGACTAAGGATAGAGAGTGATGTAGTCGAACGCGTCGACAACTTCACTTATCTTGGAAGTCTGATCATCCCTAATGGGTTGATGTCCGACGAAATCTCTACACGGATTCGAAGAGCTCGTTTGGCCTTTGCCAACTTGCGTCACCTATGGCGAAGGCAAGATATCCGTCTATCAGTTAAGGGACGAGTATACTGCGCGATAGTTCGTTCCGTTCTACTATACGGCTGCGAAACATTGCCTTTAAGAGCAGAAGATACTCGTAAGTTACTAGTATTTGACCACAGGTGCCTTAGAAATATTGCTCGCATCTGTTGGGTTCACCGGATAAGTAATAGTGAGGTTAGACGCAGGGTATTAGGGAATGATGGTAAATCAGTTGATGAGGTTATGAATCTTGATCGACTGAGATGGTTCGGCCACGTGTTGCGTATGCCTGAACACCGATGACCACGATGCGCAATGCTAACTAGTGTAGGGGATGGTTAAGAGAAAGTTAGGGGCGGCCAAACCAAAACGTGGCATCAGTGCTTGAAGTCACTATCTTCTGGTCTGAGCCATGTTGGAAGATTCAGACTGCCTGGTTGGGGTCCGCGTGACTATCGTAACCAATGGTTAGAGACTCTTGGTGACATGGCTCAGAATCGATCACAATGGCGTCGGTGTATACACTCTCTGTCTTCCTTCAAACTAAGAGATTAAAATCACTTCATATCTTTCTTTCTACGAACTAATTATTTCTTTCTGTACTATCTCCTTATATGCAATCTTTCTTCTATATATTACCACTACTGAATTAACTACTTCTATGAATCTGGTGTTCATCTTGTTGTGCTAATGCGGTATGGCAACGTGGACCGATGCATATATGTGCCTGGTCCTACGTTGGAGCTGACTGACCGTTAGATTTTACTAACAAGTTCTGTAATTTGCTGTCAAATACATTCGATTGTCGCCATTGGTGTTCTTGTTCACTACATAAGTACCATTTATATAGCAGCTGTGTGATGTTTCTATACATACAAATAATATAAAGCACTCGGAAAGATAAAATAGTGGTATATTCAACTATTTTACTAGATAGCAGTCGAAAAAAGTCTTGAGTATTTTGTATCAAATCTACATATATAAGAACACAAAATAACAATAACTCAACATTTATATACATATATCAGTCGTTAATATTCACGATAATTGAACAAATCACATTGTCCAACATAAGGTGAATTGACTCCGCTTAATTATTGATTATACTAGAAAAATAATTAAGTAAATAATCTATCAACCAACTGCAGCCATCTCAACACACGCACATATAAAGATATACACAAAATATCACACCTATTCTTTATGTTTTTTTTCAATGTAATGTAAGTTAGTTCTAAAGGACAGAATAATAAACAACATAATCTTTGTGATGACAGCAACAAACAGTCATTCTCGAACTTTTGTTAAGTCAAAAACATAAACAAACAAAATAATTGTAAGAATTACATAATGAGTGAATTAATCAATGCAATCATGTGGTTTATATGAACAGTTACTAAATATATAACAAAACAAAGTAAAAAGAAGCGACAATTGGTACTAAGTACATATTCGGATTATATAAACACTTGTTAATAAAATAGTTTGCACAGAATAAAAACAATACAACTGAGAGGATAACCATATTTTTTCATTCCTCAATCAAAGTATGATATACAACTTTTATTGAACATTTTTCTGTTCATTTGATATGTCTATTCCGTATACAAGAGTGTAATTTTCACTGGAAACATCATTTAAATGATATAAAACTATGAACATATATCTTCTATGAACATGCATCTAAACGTGCATCTAAACTTGACTCATTAAAAAGTTAATAAAATGAAGTGTTAAGCTTGAAATGTAATCCTCAATGGTAATTGTTCTCTTATATGAAGTACTTATTTGCCAAATGGACGTAAAAAAGGCTAAATATTGCACAAACATTAAAAAAAATGCTCAAATGTGTATATTATCCCCAATACAATTTACAAAGTGACTATCGTAACTAATGGTTGGAGACTCTTGGTGACATGGCTCAGAATCGATCACAATGGCGTCGGTGTATACACTCTCTGTCTTCCTTCAAACTAAGAGATTAAAATCACTTCATATCTTTCTTTCTACGAACCGATTCTTTCTTTCTGTACTATCTCCTTATATGCAATCTTTCTTCTATATATTACCACTACTGAATTAGCTACTTCTATGAATTCGGTGTTCATCTTGTTATGTTAATAAGGTATAGCAACTTCGTCCTACGTTGTAGCTGACTGACTGACTGACTGACTGACAATTTGCAAAACAAAATGAATTCATCATTTTAATTCATGATGTTTCATCAGCTGTAAACAGTCTAAAACTACAAGGAGTCGATAAAGTTGATATGGATTTTCTAATAAAAACTGCAAATCCTAATAAAAAGAATACAATATAGAATGTGATTAAGCATGAATAAGACTGACACTTCTAAATAGGTTTTCTTTTAGTTTAAATATTACACAGAACATAACTCATTCGTTATATTTATACACCAATAACTAAGTATAGATTTGTCTATTCATGAATGAACTACACATTATATAAATAAATTAAGATATTTGTAATATCCCAATGAGTAAAAAAATTAAATTTTCTGACGTTTCATGATTCAGTGTAAGCCACTTCTTTAGAGAATAAAAAATCAAATCATTGAAATATTACAAATATATTAATTTATTTATAACAATCCACCCAATGCTCAATTTATTCGAAATTATCAAGTCAAACCATGGTAATGATACCTATATACATATTCTATGTAAAAGTTAGTAATATCAATCAATGACTCAAACCAAACTAAGTGAATTTTAAACCTATAAGCCAAGTTGATGAAAGTTTATATTATTATCATCACTATCAAAATTATGAATTAGAAGTTTCAGAAGTTAAACTTAAGTTCTTCCATTTATTTGATATGATACATAGCATATTGGGTATTTAAATATATTAAATGTTTATTATTAAATATCCAAAAAAGATAACATTCATTAGAGGTACTGAATTTCTTAAATTTACTACTTCTAAAATTTATGTACACACTTTCAAGTAGTACAGTAATATAATTGATTATCATTAAAATACATACAATCAACAGTCTATTAAATTTGATAATGAATTAAATTTTTTTGGAATTGTATTCAATTACAAAATGCTCAAAATGTAAAGATATATTTATTACTCTAGTTATATAAAGTAAACAAACTTATAATGGTGATTAGTGAGTATGACCTCAACAACATTCTCTATCATTAATCTAATAATTAAAATCAATTAAAATTTACGAAGATATATATATATATATATCCATTTCAGATTTATAAATATTCTTCATTAACTAAATCAATAAATGATTTACAAACATATAAGCAAACAAAAACAACTAAAAAACTTTATCCTAGTTGTTCTGTCTTTAGCTATACGATTACCGTCAATTACGACTGCCAATTTAGATAAGCTGACTTATACGACGCAACTAATGATGCATACACCAGTACGATTAGTCTAGAGTTCTGATTAGTTTATTTTTGCACCTAATCCTTCCTCTTAAGTTCAGAACGTCAATATCAACCTCCAAGATACGAATTATATATTTCAAACATACATGGTTAATATATACAAGTAAAATCAGACCACATCACATCATAAAGTAAAAAATAACATTTGTACAAGATCAAGCCAAAAGTGGCTGACTGTGAGGAAACAATATTTATAAATCGGGAATATCACAAGAATGGTAAATAGTATGATGATAATAATCAACACGTCAAATAAAAGCTTATTATGGAAGGAATATGAATATGCATGTAATGCAGTTACTTAATAGTCATACAATAGGAATATACGTATAATATTATTAGTCCATTCATTTATTCTCCTTTGGATGTAACACATATCTTGATTGAATATAATATCTATGAAATTAAATATTGTTAAGATATTTAAACAATAAACTGAAACCATTGATCTGACTCTTGGAAATTCTGTTTTCTAATTTTATGATCATTCTATTTGAATGTAAAGTTGTTGAAAGCGATTAATTAATTATTGTTAGTCATTTAAATAAGTTATCATTTGTTTATTTAATTGGCAACATTCAAATCGTACAATAAACTAAAATAAACATAAGAAATTAGTCATTACGCAGTAATCAACTGATGTAAATTGTACGATCAGATAGATGAGGATGAAACGGTATCTAGATTTGTAAGATATAATGGATGATAAAACTACGTGGTCATTCAAATTCAACGAAGATATCTTATTCAACTTCTAGAAGAATCGGTATAATTACAATGGACATTAACAGTTTGTAATTTAACAACCAATGAGAAAAGATATTTATGGTTGTTATATGTCATATTAGGTAAAAAGTATTTCGGATAACTCATACTGAGTGAGTTTTTCCTAAAATGTTATTGTTCAAAAGATAAATTCTTGATTATCCCATCTCCTTCTGCTAAACAAAACACTAAATACCATTAAGAACAACTAATACACTGATTTTATTGTTTATTTGAAACGATAACATAAAAATAATTTTCTAGTATGCAAGTAGATGCGAAGTTAATTACAGTAAAATAATACTTACTTGCTTGCTGGACTGCCATGTTCAACTCCTGAAACAAATAAATTTTCCACTTCCCCTTTAATAACTGCTTGCCGAAGAACAATACCTGACCTTCGATATCCAAATCGAGGTTGATAATCAGGCAACTGGATAGTGAATATACCTGTACCGTACGGTAAATGTAAGCCAGTGATTCTTTTTTTAAGTTGATCCATTGAGAATGGAGGTAAGCCTGTTTGAACTTCATTGATGTTCGCATAAGGTATGTAACTGTCCAACTCGTCCTAAAAAGAGCAGAAAATTGTTGTATAAAAAATCTTTGAAATTGATTTATATGATATAAATCTGTTTGACTGTAAATTAGGAGAATATATGTTAGCCAAAGTAAAGACTCATATAAAGAAATCAAGATTATTCAACGTGGATTTTCAGTTTCTATCACTGTCATGTGTTTATAATACGGAAATGATTGTGAAGGGAAAACTTTAAAATGCACACCTTTTGTAAGGAAAAACAAATAATTATGGCTTATGAAACATTGTCTTCTAATCTAAGGTTATTGATATAAAATGTTCACATGATATGTCAGTAAGTAAATATCATTCGCAACATCTATTCTAAGCAGTAAAATGGTTTTATTAGATATCTTAAACAGATACCAGTTGGACAATTCTTGGAAATCAAGCATAACTGGACAATTCTTTTGTCCAAGCCTAAGACTGCTCAACCCAAAACCCTATTAGAGACGTAATCCATGACGTTTAGATCCTGTGAAGTAATTTGTTTAACTACTGATTTTCAAACCAGCCGTTAACATTTAAGGTTCCGGCTAATTAACAAGGCAGGCCCATGATAAGTACTATCCTTTATACCTGTTTTTCTCGCATTATCATCAAACACCATTCCATAAGGTGAATAGCTTGAGAATCCCTTCTTAAATCAGTGCGATTGTAGCTATATCACTATAAATAAATTTGAAAGTTCGTGCCAACCACTTAGCTTGTAGCTACTTTACATCACCAGGTTGAACAACCTCCATAAGCTCTTTAACTCATCAGAACGCTTTTAGTGTTCTGTCGACTTTCTTTTATAAAACGAAGCATTTATTTGTAAATTATGTATTCTGTCACTCAATTAGACTAAGTTACAGATAATAAATTAAAGACTAGTAACCAAAATATCTATATGGTTATTGGCATAAATATTGGTAACCCTAAAAGTCTTTTGGTGCACGTTATGTATAAAGCTTATAACTCAGTAATATTCTCCAATTAAACAGAATTTCAAGATTTGATCTTTGAGACAGAGAACCGAGCATCACTATCAGCCGTCTAAAACCTAATCTACCTACTCAAAGTGCACTGTACTGATATGACAATTTTCATGTCAAACATTACACTGTTGCTTCAGATGAATATTATTTTTCTTATGTCCTGAATTATAGGATCTGTTTCAGTCAAAGTCCTATTATCTGCCCCCAAATGCCCTGGTACGGCCGAGAGCGGGGAGAGTCCGCTCTCCCTCTCGAAATGCTCTCACATAGCCACGCGTATATAGCCTCTGCCAGGGAAGTCCTACTCACTGCCTTCTCGTGCCATGGGTGTTGTTTACGAAAATGAGAGGACAAAAAGCGAATGTCTGGCGCTTTAACCGTATCCAAATCAATGGTGTACATGGGCTCCAGCATCCCAAAGGAACAAATGGCGTATGAACCAATCGTTGGTCACCGGCTACCATGGGACTGCATCTCCTTACGATGCTCCACTACCTTGTGGGTTTGACCTTTAGGTCGAAGGCTCGGGGTGTGGCCCCCTAAGAAAACCACCTGCTTCGGTTTGGGCACCCGGGCAGTATCACAGCCCTCACATATATCAATCGAGATTTGTGTGGCGCATATATATTCGGTGCCTTCTTGTCCCAATATCTATGTGTTAAAATAATAATAATATAATAATAATGTCCTATTATCTAAGCTTTAAACATTTATTAAATCATACAATCTAAACTTTTAATCTATCTCCTGATGATAGTAATACAACTCGTGTCCTCAAACACTTTCCTCACTCCTTGGTCTCTCAATTTTTTTCCATTTATAAAACAACCTTCTATTTATTCATTAGCTAGTCAAATTTATAAGTTTTATACATTATGTCCACTAACTTGAATTTTAATTATCCTAGAAATATATTTTCCAATACCTAGACAAGTAATTTTTCTGGTAACTTTGTGCGTTTAGTGTTCTTAAATATTTACAGTATTATTTATATTGTGATTTGCTAAATATATACCATGAAGTTAGTAAATCTATGTCATTTTGATAAAACTTCATTTGTTCGCTTACTTCATGATGCAGGAGAAAAGGACAATACAAAAAATAGATTAATTCACTGTGAAACGCGATGACAAATCTCAGAGGAAGCAGCAGATCCCTTATGCTGAGGATGATCGTGTTTAAGAGTATCAACTAGCTGGTCGTCTTCAGCCAAGTGGCAGTAAGTTGTCATATAAGCTTAAATTCAAATCTTTCCAATCTTACACGCAAATTAACACCACGCCGATGTTTCAGTGAAATTTCACTTACCACCAAACGAACTTTTTTCCTTCTTTGTGTTATTTCAAACTTAAACAGCCAGTTGAAGATCTTCCTACCTCACCATAAGCCGAAGGGCTAAACTACTGCAGTAAATCGTTAGGTATAAGATACATTGTCAAGATGAGAAGGGGTATTCCTAATTATTCACTATTCAGGTCTACTGGTCAGGGAAGTAGTTTTCACCATAAGTGTTCTGTAACTAAATACTTAAGATTGATATTCTGCTAGAACTAAAAGTAAAACCTTAAAGTTGTTGCATCAGTACGCGATATTTCTAATTTTCTCATCTGCATGCATCAGAAAGTACAAATTAACGTGTATTACACAGCAGTACCTCTAATAACTTTGCTAGATGAACGTAGAGTAGTTGCGATAACTTGATGACTAAGTGAAAAGCATTTTTTGAACTGGGATTAAAAATTTCATACTTCGGATAGTAGTAACACGCGAGTACAAGAACCTATGTAGATGGTTCCAAACTTGGAATAGTACTCAGTACGCTTCCGCTTTAAGCTGTATCAGGGTAAGTGATCTCAATGGCGTAGGTGTATACACTCTATCTTCCCTTAAACTAAGAAATTAAAACCACTTCATATCTTTCTTTCTACGAACTAATTATTTCTTCCTGTGTTATATCCTTATATGCAATCTTTCTTTTATATATTGAGTTAACCACTCCTATGAATCCGGTGTTCATCTTGCTGTACTAATGCGGTATGGCAACTTGGACCGATGCATATATGTGCCTGGTCCTACGTTGTAACTGACTGACTGACTGAATAGGTATTAAACAATAGTTTCGTAACTGAAAAGGTATTTATATTTTTATCAGTAAGAAGTTATATACTCCTTAGATATTTTTATTGAATATGTTAAGAGACTCCAACAAGTTTGAAAAATGACATTATTGTAGTAGTTATAGAAAATATTTTGCAAATAACCAGAAAACGTATGCGTAACAACACTAAATTGGGCATGCAGACGAGGCAGAACTTTTTCTTTAAGGCAACAAAAATAGCGAACTGATTTTATTTGTAGTTCGTGAGCAAACTTCAAAAAAAAAGATGGCTAAACCTACATAAAATTTTAGAGACTAACAACGAAAACAATTAAATGAAGTCCTAAAAAGCGAGTAGATGGACACCAGAGGTAAATTTAACAAACAAATATTACTTAAAGTAACGAAATGCTTGTCTTGATAACTAGGATATTTGTCGGCATAATGTTAGTCGGCCGGTTATGATCGACGTAAAACCTGACAAACATTTGGCTAAGTTCAACTTCCTACCGCTAAACAAATCTGTTTTAATAAAAACGAAATTTGGGAAAATAAACATGAGATTCCGTGAAGTTAAATGATGAGAATTTTGAAAATAAAATTGGTCCACTTTTTTAGCTTGATATAAAAAAACGGTGGAAATGTCGGTTAAATTGACTATTTTAACGAGCATGTTTTCAAGTTCGAACCATATTTTCTCCAATGGGTCCCATCAAAGCCTCGGAAAGACTTGTATTTTCTGGGACCCTTCTCGATGTCGCCGGACAAAAGTATAAAATTCACCTAGATCAACAAGATCTTATATTAACCTTAACTGTGTCTTCATCACCTCCTGGTAGTATGAATTGATCCAATTTTAAGACTAAATTTTTATAATCTAGTGACAATAAATTAAATATTATCGCTGCACACAAGTTGGTTATCCGATAATTTTTGTATTCTTACCAAAATAGAAGGACGATTAACAATGTTTACAATATCATAACATCTGACCAATAACTCGGATTGTAACATAGAATATACATGTTCAGCCAAACGGTTCAGGGAAAAGTTCCCTTTGTTTTTTGATTCTTGAACCAATTTCAGCACAGAAGATCTCACTATCTCTACCATAAAACCATGAAGTATGTTTGATGGGAATTACCGAAATCCATCGCACGTTATACACAGCGCTGGTTAGTATAGCTTTGAGTGAGCAAGGTAGAAGGAAGCTTAAACAAGAATTAGTGAGAAGCGACTTACACTCTTTGATTCTTAGCATTCATCTGCCTTTTACTAAATTGTTTTTTGAAGTACTTTCAAGCAATATAAATTCTTGAGACTATTAAACCTCCAAAGCAAGAAGTATTCAAAATCCATTGCTTTTGTGATCAATTGGTGTAGACTAGTTGATCTTTTGTACACCATTTTTCATGTCACGGCTCTGTTACGTGCCTTATTACTGTCTAGTATAAGTAGTCTTGTAAAAATTATACAATTGTAACGTTCACTAGCGTCTAATGTCTTTTTGATGAACTTTAATAACTCGTACAGAATATGCCTATTGAGTTATTTTCGTCTTCTTAATAACACTATCTTCTCCATAAACCATTACAACATGTAGCACATTACGTACCTTAATTTTGTACTTTTTAATTTTATAGTTGAGCGTCCTCTGTTGTGCTTGTATGGCCAGAGAAACTTCACTGAGCCCTGGCCATATCATCAGGCAGTCGGGTCACCGATTGTCGAACAGTTCACCGATCGTCCTCAACGATAAGGTCGATCTACGTACATCATTTATTTACACGCCATATGCAGTAGTGGTCATACCCTGTTCTTTGTTACTCCTCAAACTAATATATTTGTGTGATAACCTCATTTGTGTATTACGGTAATCAAATGAGCCATAGTACCTAGATACGACGAAACGGTGATCTACGTTAGATACCAACCGTGAGGTGTGACTTTTGAGTCAGCTGGTTGGTCACACCATTTTCGTCTAACTCGAGTAGGCCCCCAGTCATTCGACATATATCATCTACGTTGGTGATCTATATATTTGTGAGTGCCTATACATTTACGCATCCTACACAATACACATCACTTTACTCGCGTTATTTAGTGTGTGGTTAGAATTGTACAAACACTTATAACAAGAGATATCTTGGTTTTACACGTTTCTTATCACAGATTCGCGTTTGTTTATTTGTTTGCACTGACGGATGCATGAAACGCATGTGTATGAAGAAACTCTCGTACTTGATTTTTGCCATTATATCATTAGTTAGCATGATGCAGTCAGTGAAAATACATATGAAATTAATTTCAAATCGCATATAATCATTCGTTTCAGGTGAGTATTACAACTCAAGTCTTTCCACTGAGCTGCTGTAATCTTGGTGAGCCTCACAATTATTTGGTGGCTAATATTCTTTGTTCTTTCATATTTGGTATAAGGAGAAGATAGTCGTCAGAAGTGAATAACTTCGTTATGCAAATACTGCAAACAAAGGTGGAGGAATAATAAGTAAAAAAGAGGTGGTAATCAGTGAAGCGGGCGGCGAATTATGGGAATGATAATCATTATAATTTACTAAAGACGCATCAGTCACGGCTATTACACATGAAAAACGGTAAGGCACAGATAAGTAAACAATTTTTAAGTCTCCTCTTGATACTATCCTCTGAAGAGGTCGTGGTTAAGATGCATTTCCTGTGGTGAAACAGCTCACTTAAAAATAGCTCAGAATTATTGACAACTTGTTATGCTTTGTGACTCCTCTTGTAGCTCTTCTGGGGTTGCTGCCGGCCCCATAGCTGGATAAAGGGGGAGGGTTGGGTATGTGATCAGCACCCCTGTCCCACTTAAACTCTGCATTAGAAGCTGAAGGATCTCATGGTGAAATCTAAGATTCCTCGGAAGTCAAGAGGCCGATTCTACTTCTAACAACCAAACCAGTAATTAATATAGGTATGTGTAATATTGGGACGATCTGGGAGACGAAGAAGACCGAAGAAATAGCTGCTGAAATGAGGAGATATAAATTTACAGTGCTCAGAATAAGTGAAAACCATTGGACCCAAGCTGGACAGTGAAGGATAGACTAAGAAGAGATGCTGCTGTACTCCGGTCATGAGGAGGAAAATGCTCCAAACACTCAGTGAGTTGCTCTAATACTATCCAAAGTGGCACGTAAAGCACTTGTAAGATGGGAATCTCATGGACCCATAATCATCAAATCATCTTTCAAAAAAAGAAGGGAGATTCAAAATGAATATTGTCCAATGTTGTGCACCCAACAATGGTAGCGGCGACGACAATAAAGATCAGTTTTAAGAGAGGATGCAATCAACTATAGTGAAGTGCTTAGCAAAGGACCTGATCACCATGATGGGAGACCTAAACGTCAAAGTCAGAATGGACAGCACCATGTTTGCAAATATCATGAAAAGATATGGACTTGAAAAAAGGAACGGAAATAGGGAGAGATTTGCGTATCCATGTTCATTGAACAAGCTGATTATAGGCTTAACAATATTCCCTCACAAAAACATGCACATAGCTACATAGGTCTCACCGGATTACACTACAGGAAACTAATAATAATTCTAGAAGGTCAATAGAAGACGTGAGAACCAGGAGAGGAGCTGATATAGAGCGAGACTATAATTTATGGACAAACCAATCAGATACACGATGACGGGTTGTGAATTTTGACGCGAAATTAATTTATCTATTTGGCTAACTAGAGGTTCAGCATTTTAGTTCATGTCAGTTCGTGATGAAAACCATAAATCTAATTTTTAACCCTAACCATGAACTGTAAATCACAATTCTATTCCCTCACACTGGTTCATAACCCTCATTTAGTCCTAGTAAGTAGACGGACACTCCGGAGGTCACTTCGATGTCCACCAAAGGTCGTTTATAAACTATAGTCTCATTCTGATATAGGCTCAGATCACCTCTGCCCGGTGGTGGCCAAGATCAAACTGAAGCTGAAGAAACAATGAACAACTACAAAAACAGCATTGTAAAGGTTCAATATGGCCTTTTTGAGGCCCAACAAAATCACAATAGCTCTTAAAGATGCCACAAGTATTTGGAGTTTGACAACACCTCAAGCAGTAACACTTTCTATAACCGAGAGGTGCCAGAAGCGAAGAGGTTTGAATATATATTAGACAGATTATCAAACATGGAGAAGTGACTGATCTAAGCTGGCTAGTGGTTGTAGGAGAAGTGAAGCACCCGCTCGTGATCCGGTGCAGATGCACGACTGCGCGCCTTCAGCTGAGTCCAATAAAACTAGTGCGGTCAGCATCAAATGTTGAAGACCTACAAGGCTATTGGATTAGGGGATTTATTTATCACTACACTTTCGACATTAGATTCCAAACCCCACAAGATCTGCCCAAAAAGAATGAAACTACTATGTAAAACGGTTGAAAATAGACCAACGAAGCACTAATTGCAACGCTTCAGGAGGTTCTGAGCCGCAACAGCAATCATCACCAGGATTGGATTTCTATGGAAACCCCGGACAAGATTCAGGTAAGGATGAACAACTAAACAGCAATTAAAAAAAAACAACCGAACAGGAACAAAATTCAAGGCACAAGCTGAATGCACCGAAGCAAACAAGCATGTAAAGAAGAGAATTAGAGCTGACAAGTAAAAATGTATAGAAGACCTAGCAAGAGCATCAGAAAAGGTGAGACGGAAAGAAATATGAAACAACTACATGACACTGCAAAGAAACTGGCAAGGGAATATAGCCGACCTGGGTGGAGTAGTCAAGAAGAAAGAAGGTAAGTCAATCACTGAATTTTAAGAACGGAGGAACTGGTGGGTGGAACACTTCGAGGAACTCTCGAATGGACCAGTCCCACTGAACTCACCAGACATAGAAGCGGCACACAAACACCTTCCCATAGATGTTACTTCACAGACAATCGAAGAAGTCAGGAAGGTCATTGGACAAATCAAGAATGGGAAAGCAGAAGCAGCGGACAGTACACCAGGAGTGAAGTCAGATGTTGAAATAATTGCAAACATGCTCCACGTTCTGTTCGGAAAGATTTGGAAGGAGGAACAAGTGCCGCTGAAAAACTGGAAAGAAGGATACTTCATCAAGATACCAAAGAAAGGAGATCTGAGCAAATGAGGGAACTATATAGGAGTCACACTATTATAGGTACCAAGAACAGTTTTTAACAGAGTATTACTGAACCGGATGAAAGATTCTGTAGACGCTCAAGTTCGAAACCAACAGGTCGTGCACAGATCGAATCGCAACACTATGGGTCATCATTGAACAATCAACTGAATGCAACTCGTCACAATATATCAACTTCTTTGATTATGAGAAAGCCTTTGACATTGTGAATGGATGAACTTTAGAAACCCTCTTTGATGCTATTGTGTACTTGAGGAAATTGTCAACATCATCCGGAATTCATACGATGAACTTTTCTGCAAAGTCGTGAATAAAGAACATCTGACAGATTCATTTCAAGTATGAACTGGAGTCAGAAAAGGCTGTCTAATCTCCCCCATTATCTTTTTTCTAATGGTTGGCTAGATTATAAGGACTTCCACATCTAAGTAGAAGCACGGAATAAAATGGACAAGTTGGGTGGAACTAGACTATTCGAACTTTGCAGATGACATTGATCTTCTACCTCATTCACAAAAACAAATGCAGGTCAAGACAAACAGTGTGAAAGCAGCCTATCTAGCAGTAGGCCTCGAAATTGGCGAAGGAAAAATCAAGATTTCAAAATTCAACACGGGGAACACTAACTAAATCACGCTTGATGGAGAAGCTCTGTAGGTTGTAGAATCTTTTACGTACCTTGATGAACGTGGAGGATCGGATGCAGACGTAAAGACGAGGATTGACAAAGTAACATTAGCTTTCCTACGGTTGAAGAACATATGGAATTCTCAACAACTGTCTGTCAACCAATATCAAAGTCAGAATATTCAAAACGGACGTAAAGACATTTCTACTGTTCGGAGATGAAACTTGTAGAACTACCGAAACCATCATCAAGAAAGTACAGGTATTTCTAAAAAGTTGTCTAGCAAGATACTGAGTGTCTGCTGGTCAGATATCATCAACAGCAGCTTATTATGGGAGCGAACAAACCAGGCAACAGCTGGCGAGAAAAAGAGGTTAGAGGTGGTAGGAT